TGTCATGAGCCACTGGGGAGGCTGCCTACCATACTGCCTACAAAGACACATGGGTCAGATTCAAACTGCAGGGGGATGCATTGGAAATTTTATTGCTAGAGTATGACAATATCTGTATTTCATCTAATTTCAACCTACATCTCACTGATGCAGAAATGAAAATAAAACCCAGAAGGGAAGTGATCTGTCCAAGATCACACAGTTGGAACCAGGGTGGTTAATTTATTCCCTGCTTCCTTCCACTGTCTTGAAGTTCTTTATCTCTAACATTGTGAGTTGTCTAGTGTAACACCAAACCATGAGATTTAAATTTCATCTAWTGGACACTTGAATTCCCTAGGAAGCCATTCACACTGTGGTCCCCTTCATACACGCTTGAGAAATTCACACAGACCAAGCCTCATTAGTGGCTCACAGGGAGGACCACCCAGTTACAGCTCTGGGGGGCTCTCAGCATGGTTGCTGTGGAGCATCCACTGGGCACTCACAGGTCTGTTTTCTGTCTATGCTGGGGATGGCTTCAAGAACTCAAGTGTTATGAGGCTCTTCATGCTGACTTTGAATACTGGTAAGTGCTGCTGATACACAGCTAACAAAACACTTTGAAGATRCTAATTGTTTTTTCGTCCTCTGTTCCACACATCAGATTTTATTTTGAATTTTTTTTCACCTTGTCCTTCACATACACAAATAGGAAATGTTGAGCCTTACTCGTTTGAATCCTGATCCTCATCCTCTTGTGGCTCATGGTGTTGTCACTAATTCTGTGTGCCTCTTGATCCTCTCCAGTGTGAAGCAAGTCTTCCATGAACCTSTAAAAGATCTGCATGGTGTGACCTTCCAGCCAGGCACAAGGAGACTTTGGTAGACTGGCTGGAACCATCGATTATGGTTTGGATGTGAGGTGTCCCCCAAAAGCTCACATGTAAGAAAATGCAAGGTTTGGAGGAGGAATTAACTTAGTGAGTTAATCCCTGATGGGATTAATTAGTGACTGGAGGTAGGTGGGGTGTGGCTGGAGAAAGTGGTTCAATGGAGACATGGCTATGGGGGATATATTTTATATCTGAAGAGTGGAGTCTCTCTTTACTTTCTGATCATCTTGTAAGCTGCTTCGCTCTGCCACACTCTTCCACCATGATGTACTTCCTCACCTCGGGCCCCAAGGAATGGAGCTGGTCTTCTATGGACTAAGACCTCTGAAATCATGAGCCCTCAAATAAATTTTCTTCCTATACAACTGT